CTCTCTCTCTCTCTCACACACACAAAAAATAGGCCTAATTCATTACATTTGGTTATCTCTGAATTGCAGACAAGTTCTTTAGAAACTATATCTATTGAATCCATATCTAGATATCTATAGATGCACCAAATGATTCACTGATTAACCTTTAAGATGAGTTAGATTAAATAGACAAATGTATTAAACTGAATGAGAAGACATGCAAATGAAAAGTTTGATAGTAAGAGCTTTATGAAAGACAGTTACTGTGAATGAAACATTTATTTAGATGAAACACTTATTTTGTGTAGTGAAAAGGATACTTTGTGATTGTGTGTATTGTACTAAGACAATTGAAAATACGCTGAAATGTTTGAAAAAACGGCACTTTTGATGATCTGTTGTGACATTAGTACTAAGAGTTTTGAAAATGTAACAGTTGCTTGTGAAAATAATACCAAAGCAAATAAAAAAAAAACTGTATAAAGCGCTTTGTACAATACAGATATAATGTAAACAGAAATGCAAGGGGGTAAAAATAATTTCTTTGTACAATGCGCAGTTTCTAAAGGTGAACAGATGATGTCTAAGTGTTTTCACACATGATCACTGTGTGTAGCTCATCAGTAAATGAGTGTGGCATTAAAATAGCAGTGTTTCCCAAATTAAACAAAAGAGCTGTTAGTTTTGAGTGATGTGTGTAATGTAGAGAACTGTGTTTAGAGTTTTGCAAACAGTTTGTTCTACAATATCAAACAGAGTTTAAAGCATGTAGTGTGCTTGTAGTTTTGCAGACTTGGTCTAAAGATTAGGAATATGAGTGAATGGTTCCACTAAGTATCACTTTAGTGTCTAAGCAGTTTTAAAAAACTGTAATTCCTGTTAGATGTGTGTGTGTTACATAGAGAAGTGTGTGTTGTGTTTTGCAAAAAGTGTTTTCTGAAACTGAAAACCGAGTCAAAGTCTGAGATTAGTGTATGGTTTTGTAGATTTGGTGTGTGTTTCTGCTGTTTGAGTGTCAGCTTTCAGAAACTGTGTGACTTTGTGTGTAAGCAGCTGAAAAAAAAACTGTTAAAAAACAGTCTCTTTATTTTTTATGATAAATATCTTGCAAGTTTATGAACTTATGACTATATTCATACTCTATGCTTTAGTATGTGTGCAAATGTTCATGAGAACATCTGATGATTATTACCTTCATAAACAGGCGTCAAGGAGCATAAGATCCCAGATGATCAATCGATATAAAACACAATCTGTGATGTTTCTAGCTGTGTATGATGGAGTCTCTGCTCCGGATCTCTGTCAGGAGTGTGAGCGACATGCTGGTTCTTCTGCCACCAGACGTCACGCTGCATTCAGGCCTGCGGTGCGATGGCTGTCCGGCTCAGGGACGCTGTGAGGAGGAGAATATTACAGAAAATCTGCGACACACTGTCAGGGCCTGACCTGTGATTGAGGAAAGAGTCGATCGCATGACGTAGCATTAGTGTTGTGAAGCTCTGCTGTATCTCTGTGACTCACCTGGATTCTGTCCACACCCTCAGAAAGCCCTGCGGTACATAAGATGCATTAAATGTGCAAGTTCTGAATGCATTTTACAATAACAAATAATGCTAAAATATCAACATACTCTAGTTACATTTAGGATGCTAAATGGTGAACTGCAAAAGATTAATTTGTATTACTTCTAGTTTAATGAAACGCATTTTGTTACTCAATTCAGTTTCCATTTAATTTTCAGTATTTATAGTTCGTTAATATGTGAAATGTATTAGAGGTAAGAGATCACTGACGTTTGAATGTCCTCTATTGATCAAATTCACTCAGTGAATTCAGAGCTTCCACACATGTTTCCTTTCTATTCTGTTCTATTCACATTGAAATGAATGTAAGTCTGGTGTGACGCAGCTTCTGTCAGATCGAGTAAACGAGTTTCACACAAACACACACGCATCGAACTAAACTCAGCAAACACCACAGGCAGAAACACACATCTGTACATTCATGTGAAGTAAATGCCAGATGCCTGTAACTGAAACATGTCTCGTAACAGCTTCATTCAGACGGTCAGAGCCCATGAAAACAACCAAAAACCGTCTCTTCCTCAGTATTTTTGATTTGTTTTCCAGTACAAATGTCTAAACATTCCTAAAGGGGTCATATGATGCGATTTCAAGTTTTTCTTTC